TTCTTTGAAGCTTCCTGTCTCATTATGGTCCACAGAATGACTAACATGAATGCTGTACTGTTAGCACTGAAGGTGCAGAACAGTTTGATTTTAGTAAATGGAAGAAAAAAAAGTCAACTACTGCACAGTGTGTTAATGTTTTCAAAGACACTGAACTTGTGTCAATTCATCTGAACTGTGTATGCATTGACATTAGGGCTGGGCAATATGGAGAAAATCAAATATCACATTTTTGACCTAACACCTTGATGTCGATATTGCAACGATATTGTAAGGTTGACAATTGGTGCATTCACAAAATATCTTCCACATTTAGATTTCGGATAAATAACTATCATATTGTGGATATAATGACTAAGTGGTAAAAGGCAAATAATAGAACAGCTAGAACAGTCTGGTAAGTTCAGAAAATGACATCACTTTACTGTAATGCAGCCTTTGAAACCAGGAAAAGACTAAACTTACCATGTAACGATATTACACTTCTTCAAAATCTAATGGTGCTTTTCCATTACATGGTACCTACTCGCCTCGCCTCGCCTTTTTTGGTTTTCCATTACGAAAAAAAGTACCTGGTACCTGCTAACATATACTTTTTTTAGCACCTGCTCAGTCGAGGTTCCAACCGAGCTGAGGCGAGCCGAGAAGGTGACGTGAAACCCTGCAGGCTGCTGATTGGTCGGAAAGAATCGTCACTGATCACTGCATTGCCAGCGACAGACAGCATTTTAAAATAGTTTAGCCAGCGGTGGTTTTTACTGCCGGAGGCTCCACGCAGAGCTTTCTCCGTAGCATACAAGTGGCCTGATGGTTATACTGGTGCGCTGGTGTGTGTAATGTGTGATGTGTGTGTGTCGAGTCGCCATATGTGTGTGTGTGTGTGTGTGTGTAGCTAGTGAGCGAGGGAGAAGTGAGAGAGTGACGGCGATTATCTCCGCAGCGAGTAGCGACTCTAGTCATATATATGTGAGAGAAACAAAGCGAGTAGCGACTCTAGAGTCATATATATGTGATCACGGTGGGAAATCTGGAGCAGTTAACGTTAACTATCTCTTTGATATCATGTTGTTCACGGAGACTGAGAACCAGGAAATGCGGCGGGGATTTGTCAATGGGAAAGCAAGCTACTAAGCCACGCCCACGGCAGTCGCTATGACGACCAGCCACGCTGAGGCAATCCTAAAATCTGCAATGGGAAACGGACGCACAGCGAGTCGAGGCGAGGCGAGTCAAGTAGGTACTGGTAATGGAAAAGCACCTTAAGACGATATCTAGTCTTATATCACGATAGATATAATATTAAAATATTGCCCAGCCCTAATTGACGTCTGAAAAAACTTAAACAAGCCCAAATCCAGTACTTTTTATGGCAGCGACAAGTGCTTTCTCAAAGTCCATGTAGAGTTTGAAATGAGCTGGCAGCTTTAGGGTTTCAAAGCATGTGGAGGACGTAGGAAGGGTTCCCCCAGAAATCTCCACTCTCAGTTCAGGAGGAAGCATCTCCCAGCCAACCCAGAATGTCAGCAGCTGGGCCAGGGTACCTGATGAAGCTAAAAGTCATAAAATGGATTAAAGACATTTAGTTCAACTGTAATTGATCATATCTATCCATGAGACATAGAAGCATTTGTAAAGAGAGAAAATAAGGTTTATACCTGTTTCAATGAACATCCTTAGAAAGCCAGTGATGCGGCAGGTGGTGTCTAAGTCAAAGTCTTCATCATCACTGTCCTCAACTGGCCATGTGATTTTTTCTAGGAGCATCTTAAAGAAAACAAAAATTGTAATTTAAAAAAAGGGAGAACTTATTTTGGTGAAGGACTATGCAGATCAAATTCTTAGAAAATGGAAAAATATCCATCTCAGTCATTGAAAATACACGTAAATTCATCAAGTTAAGTCACAAATATAACTAAATTACTGACTTACCTGGGGTGTGAACTGCATTTCAGCCATTTTGGGGAAAAGAAGTGGTACAACATCCGGCCTAGATGTCAGCAGGGGCCATACCATCACATCTTTCAGTCCCTTTCTCAACTGTTTAATTTGGCGCATGGTCCTCCCAACGACCTAAGAGACAGACCGACCCATATTACAGCCCAAATCCTTAACCCAAATTTGACAAAAGTTGGCACAGTAGGAAAAATGTTAATAAACACAATAAAGTGCTTTATAAAAATCCATTAAAACTCTAGTACTTAAACTCTCGTGTTAACATAACAAGCCAGGGTTCACAACACATTCTATAATTTCAACAAGTACAGCGATGAATTCTGTCACTTAACCAGCAGGAACTCACTGCATGGAGTAGAAGTTTGTTATGTAGCCATCTCCGATTTGTTTTGGTGACTGCCGGAAGATCCCAAGACATGGAAAGATCTGAAACTGTGTCCTTCTGTTCCGGTGTAAGATCTTCATGTTCAAGCTAGAATTAAGACCATACAAGTTATTATATCTGCCCAAGCAATATTTTTTACATGGCAAAGTTTCTTTTAGGTTACATACCAGTTCTATGATGCTCCTGATGTGCAGATCAGGACAGTCTTCTGTAACAACAGTAGCCATTTCAGGGTCCCCATTGAACAGTACATGAATTACAGCAGGACTTAGTCCTGTGACATGGGGACCATCATGCAGAAAGGTGTGGCCCAACATCCTTCCTGCAACCCGGAAGAGGTTGCTTTCAATAAGTGCCTCTGATGCTGCTGGAACAAGATGGTCAGGTTCACCCTCAAATAGCAGTGTTCGGCCCATTCCTCCTGTAAAGTACCAAGAGAGCAGGGAATAAAGTCACAACAATTAACCTCTTAAATACATTAAATAAAAATGTATGATAGATAGATAGATAGATAGATAGATAGATATATTACATCATACTAGTGGCGATTACTTGGCCTGTGGTATTGCTGCTTGTAGAATTCACTTAAAACAAATTGTAGCCTACTCCAAAATGACTTACAGAAGGACCCCAAACCACTTCAAATTCAATTCCCCTGTATACCCTACTACAGACTTACCTGACACAAAACATTGCCCACCGGCCCTCCGCTAAACAGCACATATCCGCGTTCATCAACCACCAGAACGTACGTGTACGCGTGTGTGTGTGTGCGCGCGCATAGAGAGAGGCGGTGTAGAGTGAGTCACGACACAAACAGGTGCTCAGTCAGCGTTGCATGCAGTGTGAGAATGGCAAGCAGCAAGAGCGGCAAAAGCCAATGTGTGCTTCTTTTACCTATATATGTAACGCTATCTTTTGCGTTTATCCAAACGTCGTCAAACTTGGCACTGCACTTACTCGTGACCAGAGCAAGACACCTGTCAAGTTTGAAATCCATCGGACTAACTGAGAGACATGCGCTACAGACAGACATTTCTGCAATTTATAGATGGATTAACCTTCAAAAAATTAGTAAGATACTTACCAAGATCTAGACTGAATCCAAACTGGAGTTTGGATATGATTGTTGTCATAAAGTACCGCATCACTCCCTCTCCGATAGCAACATCACCTGAAATAAAATACTGATAATAACACTGGAAAAAAAGTGGCGGCCTAATACAGGTAACTGGATTTGGTAACATTTAACAAGAAAGGGAGAAAAACTTATATTGGCTGTAATTCTAGAATAGCATCCTTAATATTGATTATTCCAGATAACAAGAGTATATTGTGCACAATATTCACATACATACATATAACATTTTTATCAATTATATAATTTTGTGCATTCCATTCTCCCATTTAACAATTCCATATAAGCTACTTGAGTGGTATAAACTGTACTGATGTATTTATATTATAAATGTTATATTACTTACCAACCAGAGTACAATGAAGTGGACATGCCCATTCTTGCTGCTGTTTATATAATAAGAGAAGCTCCCGTTCCCTGTCCTCTTCAGAGTCCCTTACATCCATCTTCATTCTAAGTGGTTTCCCAGTTGCATGTTCCCTTAGCAGATTCTCTTTGAAAACTTTGGCAGCTTGAGTGGGTTCTTTAATAAGCTTCCATTCTAAACAAACAACAACAATAAAGTTATCTATTACAGAGAGACATATTGTGAGTTGGCATGTTACCTGCATATACAGATATCCTCTCACTCTACAGAACAGGAGGAAAATTCTGTTCATTTCACTGACAAAACGTGAGACCCAACATCTTCAGAACCTGTCACAACGCTGAGTTGACATAAAAACAGCACTACTAAACAACTACAACTAAATATTAGAAAAATAGAAAAACCCAGTTGCATGTTATTAATTGTCTGTAACTGTATTATCTTATCTAATTATATCCTACAGGTGTTATCTTTCTATTAACTTTTCAGTTACACACAATCTTATAGCAACACTATTGTGATGACACAAACCACTGTCTGTTTCTTTGCGATCCAACTCCTCGTTGACAATCACTGCCGGTACTACTGCACTCTCAGCTGATGTTTCAGGCCTCACTGGAACACTGTCACTGACTAGGGCTGTCTCACTATCATTTTCTTCACTTTGGCCTCCCTCTTGTTCTCTTTCTGATTCCTGCATGGGTGTCCTTGAAGTTAACACAATTGAAATGATGGTCATACTCGCTTATTTGTGTGCACAACAATAAGAGAGACATATTCCCAAAGAAAATAAATTATGCTACCCTTGCATTGCTTTAAGAAGTACATACCCATTGCAGCTCAATCTGTGCAGCTTCATCTCTGAAAAGGGAACTTCCTTCTGACAAGTGATGCAGGGGATGACTGGACCAGAGGCAGGACGTGAGCTCTCCTAACAACAACAACAAATGGCTTTTAATTAATGATTAAAAGTCACCAGTAATCTTTGTTTTGATTATGTATTAAACTAAGTCTCTGTAAATGTATGTACACAATCTAAGGGTAGATCCTGTTGAAGTGGACGTATGTAGATTGTAGCCTGTCCAATCATCGTCGATGGATCTTTCAGATAGGCAAGGGTGTATCCAGTGCTGGGACACTGAAGCAACGCAAGATTT